CTCCAAAGACACAGATAGTGTCTTTTAGTATCGTCCCACAGATCTCTGAGGCTCTGTTAATTTTTTTTCAATCTTTTTTTCTCTTTGTTATTCACATATGATGATGTCTTTCAGATCTCTGATTCTTTCCTTTGTCACTTTCATTATGATATTGAGACTATTCAGGGAGAGTTTGTACATTTTTTGTAGTTGTATTTTTCAGTTTGAAAATTTCTCTTTGGTTCTTATTTATATCTTTTCTTTGCTGAGACTCTCTGTCTTTCCATTTATTTTAAAAGTGTTCACCCTTAATTGTCGAAACCTTTTTATAATATCTGACAAAGAATTAAAGTACTAATTTCAAAATCTATGTCACTTTGTCATTGGAATCTGTTGATTGTCTTCCTGAAACTTCAGGTTTTTTGATTCTTTTTCATATCATGTAATTTTTTATTCCATCTGGAGTTTTCGAATATTATGACTTTGGATCTTATTTACATCTTATAGAGAATGTTGATATTTTTGTATTAGCATGCAATTAGCTCACTTGTTCCAACTAGTCTTCTCTGTGTTTTTAATGTTGGTTTTGTTTTCAAACCCTTTGCAGTGTTGTTCAGATTTGTCCCCCATGTGCTCCATCTAGTGGCCAATTGGGGCAGTGCTCTATTTCTTAGTTCTGTTCTCAAACTCCGGTATAATATTTAGGGTCAAATCTATGCATGGGCAGCTTGGGAGTGAGCTAGAAGTCATAAACAACTTTATAGGGTTTCTTTCTTTAGTTCTTCCCTCTCCGTGATCTCCCCACTAGTTTTGGGTTCTCTGTGGCTTCCGTTTTGTAGTCCTCTAGCTGGAAAGGTGGGGCTTTATTTACTGTTTGCCAACACATTTTCTGCAATGACACGTGTGTCCAGAACCAAGCAACGGATATTTACATTGCCTTCTTGGAACCAAAGCTTTTCCAGTTGGGGAGGAAAGTTCCACTCCCTCATAGTTTTTGGAGCCTGAGGACCTCTCTCTACCACCTCTATCACTGCCAGAAGATCCCACTCTTTCTCCTCAAGCCTAAACTACAGGACTTCACCTGGAGTTCTCTCTACTTGTGCCAGTGCCCTTTTCCAGGTTCTCCTGCCAGGCTAAGGAATCAGAGGGGAGAAAAAAACAAACAAACAGTAAAATCGCCACTGGTTAGATGGAATGTCAAATTCTTCTTCCTTAATGTTGAGTCTTCCAATTCGTGAATAGTGTATATATCTCTCCATTTTATTTTGTTCTTATTTAATTTTTCTCAACAATGTTTTATACTTTCTATATACACATCTTGCACACATTTTGTTAAGTTTATCACTAAGCAAATCATGTTTTTGGATGCTATTGTAAATGGTATTTTTAAAAATCCATATTTCAATTGTTCATTGCTGGTATATAGAAAGAAATACAATTGATTTTTTTCATGTCGATTTTATATACTGCAACCTTGCTTAATTCACTTATTAGTGCTAGTAGCTTTTCTTATAGATAACTTAGGATCTTCTGCATAGATGATCATGTGATGAGTGAATAACAACAGTTTTACTTTTTCCTTTCTAATCTATATGCCTTTTATTTGCCTTATTGCATTGGCTAGGATTATCAGTAAAATGTAGACTAGAAGTAATGAGAATGGACATCTTTGCCTTGTTCTCAGTTTTAAGAGAAAAGCATTTAGTCTTTCATTATTATGCATTAGGTAGATATTTTTTATAGGTGCCTTTTATTACTTTGAGGAAAGTCCTTTTTACTTATAATTATGGAGAGTTTTTATTATGAATGAGTATTAAATTTTATCAAAACTTTTGTCCGCATTTATTAAAACGAACATATTTCTTTTTCTGTTAATGTGATGAATTGCTTTGATTTTCAACTTTTAACCCAACCTTGCATTCTTAGGATAACTTCACTTTGTTATGATCTATTATCCTTTTTGTAAGTTGTGGGATTTTGGTAAAGATTTTTACCTCTATGATCGTAAGATGTGTTGTTCTTAATTTTTTATTTTCTTAAATTGTCTATGTTTGGTTTCTTTATTTGGATAATGCTAGAGCCTCTTCACATAAGTTAGTGAGGGTTCCCCTTCCTTTGTTTCCTGAAAGAATTTGGGTAAGATTGATATTATTTCTTATGTATTCTATAGAATTTTCCTATAAAGTTGTTGGGATCTGTAGTTTTCTTTATGGAAAAGTTTTAAATTATGATTTCATTTTTTAAATAGCTATAGGGCTAGAGTCTCAAATTATTTTTGCTTTATTTTGATACCTTTTATTTTTAAGGAAGTCGTCTATTTTATCTAAATTATATTTATTCATGTAATGTCATTTATATTTTATTATTGATTTAATATTATTTTAATGTCTGCAGGCTTGTAGTGATTTCTCTCACACTCATTTTTTTATATTGATAACTGTGCTTCTCCCTTTTTCTTTTTTTAAAACAAGTTGACATTATTATTTTTTGTCTTCCAATCCTTGTATATAAGCATACATATATTTTATAAAGTTGATATAATAGCATATGTAAAATTGTATATTTCTCCATCTGAGATTATATTAAATAGTTTTCAATGGCAATGTATTTATTTAATCATTAAAAAAATACTTTATTGAGGTATGATTGACTTTCAAAAAGCTGTTCATGTTTAATGTATAAAACTCGATGAGTATTTGAAGTTCATAGAATTATTCAGCCTTAAAAAAAGAAGGAAATCCTGCCATTTTAACAACTTGGATGAACCTGGAGGACATTATGCTAAGTGAAATAAGCCAGACACAGAAGAACAAATCATACACAATCCCATTTATATGAGAAATCTCAAATAGTCAAACTCTCTTTAAAAAAAAATAAGGCTAAAAGTTTATCAATTTTATTAATCTTTTCAAAGAGCTAGCTTTTGCTTTTATTGTTTTCTCTACTGTTTTTCTGTTTAATATTGCATTGAGTTCTGCTCATCTATTATTCCCTTCCTTCTTCTTACATTAGGTTAAATCTGTTCCTTTTTCTATCTTCTTAAGACGGAAGTTCTGAATATTGATTTTAAACGTTGTCTTTCTCATATAAGCATTTACAGCTGTAAATCTTCTAAGAGGAAAGTTTACTTGGAGGTCCATGTTAACATCTATGAAATCAGGATACATCTTAGCCTCAGTAATATCTTACAGTTATAACTGTCATCATTTTTTTCTTACTTAGTGGTGCACATAGTAATGATGTGACTTGGTGTCCTGAATCCAATGAAATGCAGTATTATACAATTCTTTTGAACTTTGTGTACCTAATAATTACTTAATAAAGATCTTGACACAGTGATGCTTATGTGTCATAGCTGCTCTCTCCTTGCTATTGTTTATATTTTATTTGTAGCATAGTTATCAGTTTTTCATCTTTTTATTATCCTGAAAATTGAGGGCTCCTTGAGAGCTGTCTTAACATCCTCCAAAGTATCTAGTAGAATGTTCTACTTATAGGGTACACAATGCTTGTGTATTAAACAAAGGGTAAGAAAGACTTAATTGCTGAGCATAGCATTGGAAGTGGCCCCCAAACTGAAGCCCTGTGAGCCCATAATTAACATGTACATCAAAAAATTGCTAGTATGTATACGTTGTTGGATATATCTCATCTCTTTGAGCTAGCAGTGCACAGTGATGTACTTTTCTGTTAAAACAGAACTCTTTTTAATTCATCTTAGATCTTTTCCTATGAATTGCTACATTTTTGTTTGTTTGGACATAGATTACCTAATGTTTCCTATTTCGAATTTAATATACAAATATTCATACTGTACATACTCCACCATTTGTCTGTTTTCTTATTTATCTTACCCAATATGTGTTTCCTTTGGATATTTTATGTCTGGGTTTTTATATTTTTTAACTGAATTAAATAGAGCATCAAATTATTGCTTTTAATCTCTTTAGCTCCTTAAAACCCTGTTGTTTTCACATGCTTAGAGGGCTCCAGAGCAAGGCAGTATTATAGGCTTTATACAGTCTCCTCCTGCTCCTCCAGGTGTAGCATTTCAGCAGATGAAGTTTTCTTTATTGTTTGTATTTCCTCATTATGGGAGAGTTATATCACATACAGATTTAACTCAGACACTAACTTTAGAACTCAACTCCAAGGGAAGAAGTGACTCAACTGTATGCTTACCTGCCTATGGCACTATTAAAGAGAAGAGCCCAGGGGTCCATGCTCACATTGGAAAAATTGCATCGGCAAACCTGCTTCCTTCCTAGCTCTGAAAGACACAGGTTCCACAGACACTGCTCCTTGGTATAGGAAGCCAGCATTTTATGTTTATCAATCAGAACACTTATGGCTTGGATTACAAGAATGCTCATCTAAAGGTGGCTTAAACAATGAGGATTAATTTTTCTCAATGAGGACTCCAAAGTTAGGCAATTCTAAAGTTGGTGGAGTGGCCTAGTGATTTCAGGTCTTCCTCTTAGAATTTCAACATGGCTGCAGCTTTCTAAGCATCATAGCCCGACATAACACATGTCCTAAAGACGCTTTTCCTGTTTTGAATGAATGTACCTCCCTCTCATCAAAGAAGGAAATCTTTCCCATTAACCCCACGTGTACCTCCTCGTATATGTCATTGTCCAGGATTGTGTCACATTGTGCTCCAGCTGCACAGGAGTCTGGGGAAGCAAGTCTGTAGAATATTCACACTCTTTAGTGGGAGGTAGGCTCTGACTACAAGGAAGAAGGTGAGTGGCTGCTAACTGGGCAACCAATAGTATCTGTTTGTGAATGTATACGTGTGCATGTGTGGGTAAGGTATATATAGAGAGAAATCTAGACTGACTTTTTGTTTGGGTTAAGTCTCTCGTTCCCATATGAACTTGTATGTGGCCTCAGAGCAGAACTATGGATGACCCACTACAGTGGAGGATGACGATGGCATTTGGGCTAAAGTTGCCTTTGCTTTCTATGACACAATCAGAACTTTACGTTTTTAGTTACTTGAAATTTTGTGATTTCAGGTTGAGTCCAGAAATCTTTCTGAAACGCCCGGTGGTTGAAGGAAATCGTTGGAGGCTGGACTGCATTCTTAAACGAAAAGCAGTATGTACTTTCCAAACAAATGCTGATACGATTTCTTAAATGTGTATTGCCTCAGAAATGCCTTTCCTTTTTTAAATTTTTTCATATGTATTATAGTTTTTTTCTTTAGAGTTTGACAAAAAGTAGAATATTTACTGTTTTCATGTTCATTTGGTTATGATTTTTTTCCTGTTACTTTTGGGTACATGATATTTTAGCCTAATTTACAGCATGGATTATTTTAGTAATTCTAATTTTTGTTTTTTGATCAGCTATGAGCAGTTTATTTTATGGGCAAAAACTTGTAATGAAGTTTCATCATTGAATAATAAATGATGAAATGAAACATAGCATTTTATTTTGTTTTATTTACTGTTCCATTGTTTGAGCAAAACAACCAGTCATCTGACATTTCAGTCAGATGGGGTCAAGCTGATCTTGAAAAATATCAAAGAGGAGGGACATTAAGAATTGGTGCTGTTTTGATTCCAATTTTGGAACAGTTCATGGTAATAATGTGAAATTTTTTCTTGTGCAGTTGACCCTGTAGATTTTGGGTAAGCATTGAGTGTGCACTTTTTGTTATCAAAAGTAAATAACTGAAGCAGTTATAGGTTTGCCAGTGACAACTTTACATTCATATTTCTGATGAATTTTTTTTAATATAGTTGGCCCTAAACCCACTTAAATTACGCTCAATTAGAATAGATCTGGATTTATTATTAATCATGTCCAAATTGGGGAGTGCTAGCCTTTTCACTATTACTTGAGACTGTTTTCATCTTTTTTTATTCTATCATTAAACATTCTAGCAGATCCTAAGTCACGAGGGCAGCATTTTCCTATTTCTCACAGTCTTATTCATCTCTTTTTTCCCATCCTTGACATTCCCTACCCTTTCCCATTCACTTTTACTTCTCCTTCCAATGTCTTTTCCCCATGCCTTTACTTTAGGATTTCTGCAGATATCCATAATATAGTCAGAACTCATTGCTAATATTGATGGCAGAAGTCGATAATCTTTATTTCAGACCCATGCCAAACAGCATCATTTTCATGGCTAGTTTAATTTGTTGTCTCAACAAAATTCTTTTCATAAAATTGGAAATTCTGGTCTTGAAAAAGCATTATTTGCATATTTATTACATAATTCAGCATACAGTTACTGAGTATCTCCTGTGAGCCAGGTACTACACTAATTACTAAAGATGCCGTGTGTGTGAACAGGATTCCATCTCTGCCTGTGAATGGCTTGCTAAAGGACTCATGTCCTGAGTTCAGTCCTAGCCTTACCAAACTTCTTTCTGTATGTTGAATGGGCTATAGCTTTCTCCCTGTTTCTCTCTATGAAATGGCACCTTTTCCATTTCTCTTCAAGATTCCATTTTAAAGTTTCTCCAATCTTGCCTCACAATTATCAGTTATACTAGTTAATCCTCTCCTCATAGTACTTATCCAATACTTTACTGTTTTAGGTTTCAATCAGCATGTTCAATGCATGCCTACCATGTGCCGGGCTTTTGGCTAATCATACGGGGATGCACATAAATAACAAACTTGATTCTTGATCTGAAAGAGCTTAAAAATCTACTCAAGAGTCAATTGGGTACAGAGACGAGCCGAGATTCAAAGGCAGGTGGGAGAGTATTGGGCAGGTCTGGTGGGGAAGCCTCTCACAACATGAGGGATTTAGGGCATTTAGGATGGGGGAAAAAATTTAAAAGACGTTTCTAGGTACAGGAAATATGGTGAAGAAACATTCCGGACTCAGGAATTCAGAAGGCTTTGTCAGTCATAGTATGGTGACAAGGTTGATTACACCTGAGTATTAGTGTAGGTAGGATGGTGATCAAGCTGGAAAAGCAGGCTACAGCTAGGATATGGAGGCTTTGTAAACCAAGTCAGTGGTTTGAACTTTATGGAGTACAGTGGGAGCTACTGTGAGAGGGGTGGGTGTGATGGATGAAGGATGATCTGATTGAAATGATGTGTTGGGAATGTGAATCTGGTAGTGGGAGGAAGTGGGAAGAACTCAGATTCAGAGAGCTAAATTTTAGATCACTTGAGTCTGAGATGCCTACAGGACATCTAAGTAAACTTCAGAAAGCTCGTCAATGCCAGAGCAGGGCTCAGGAGGAAGATCCCGCAGGCCTGGCTCTCCATCTAATGTTAGCCAAGAAAATATTTTTGCCTAATAATGGTGCTTCGTTTATTCACTTCCTGAAACTCGGTGTTCACCTGGGACCTCACCAGGGCTCATCGCCCATAAAAGCAAAGAGAAGCCAGCCATGCTAGTGATAGAATAAGCAACTGGACAGGTAAACTAAGGGTAATAAACAAACACATGCCAACAACTTTTAAATTGCACGTAATAATTTTTAAAATGTCCTAAGGAAATAGTAATACTATGAAATACTAATTTCTCAGTGGTACATTTAGCAAAATTGCTCTCCCTTAATCTAACTACACCATCTTATTATTTTGGTCATAAATTTTTAACATTCAGATAATTCCAGATTGACATTTCAAATGCTCATAAATGCTACTTCATATAAATAATTTAGTTTCTGAAAGCCACTATTTTTATGAAGTAGCGGGTTGATAATAACATTTTTTCTTGCATTAATGGGTCCCAGAGGTCCACTATGTTGATTAAAATAAATTATTTTTTCTTCTATCTTATTGTACAGATTTTTTAGGAAGGAATTTTGTGTCTCTGCCTCATAGCTAACACATAGGGAAACATCTCGTATAATGGCTGTTTCTTAGGGGAAAAAATGTAAATTTTGTTTCTCTGGTTATAACCAAGTTGATATTTTCCTGTTTCTTTGGCCTTCTGAGATGCAGTATCATCATTTAAAATAGTATAAACCAACCTTGAGAAACAGAGTGTTTGCAACTCAAATCAGCATCAAGGTTTTCTACAGTTTGGCATTTACTGCAGTAAGAAGTAAGATCCTTTTTACCGTAGTTATGGTAACCCTTTCCCTGTACCTAATTTGTGTATTTCAACCTTAGCAATATGTGATATTTCCTGATGAGACTTGCACCAAAAGAATCTTAAAGTGCAGCAACCTGTAGACTGACAGAAAAAGATTTAGGTCCCCAGGGGGATTGTGTCATCAGGTTAATTTCTTACTGTCCTGAACCACAAGGCACATTCTACAATTGCCATCAGTGAGTAATATAACAGAAAGATGTCCAGGTTTGTCAAATGAAATGAATAATCACATCTCCACGCAGAAAAATCAAAGGGAATCTTATCAAAGTGGGGGCCTAGAAAGGGCATGGTAGGGAAGGGGAGAAGGGATCTTCAACCTTGAAGACTGCTTTAAACAGAACGGTTTTAAAAAAAAAGGCACATGAGCATTTGTGCACTTACATCCCAATCTTGCCAACATTTAAATGGTAAGGATACAATTTCTTTTTAAACTTTACTTTTTATTTTCCTAAAATATTGCACCCCCTGGGAAAGCCCTTCACAAGTGATAAAATTAGTGATTATCCTGTTGATGTGTACTCTATACTATCTTCAAGCAGTGAACAAACTTGGCTGCATCTGGAAAATATTTTGACCACAGTACTTTGAACAATCAGAGAAAAAGTTGGCTCAGAAACAGTCTCTTCATTTCAACTATGGAAAAGTTTTATTTTTCTGGTCTTCACATGTATTATGTATATGTAATTGTGTCTGTTCTACTTGATTAAAAACTAGTTAGAAAAGAAAATAGAACTTTCATCTTCGGAAATTCAGGTTCCATGAAGTTTATTCTATAGGACCTTTGGGTTAGTTGATTTCAACACGGATAAGAAGCATGGCATTGCGTAGTGAACTCCAGGCCATCCCTGTTCCTACTTCCCCTGTTAATACTTTCGTTTCCCCTCTCTAAGCAAAAGTAATTTCCCCTAGGGTCACTAAAAAGCATTGGTAAAACATTTAATGTTTCAAAGTATACTTTTTAAATTACAGAATTAACATCAGTTTTTTGTTGTTGTTTTCTAATTTGGTTTTTATTTTGCACATTTGTCTAAGTCTTCACTATTATGACCCAGCAAATGCCTTCATTCTCAAGGAATACTTTTTCCTTTGCCCTTTATAGTTTAGAGTTTATGACAGTGTTGTAATCCTTGCCTAAAAGAAGAGGAGTTTATTGCTTTATTATCACAGAAATCTTGTCACTAATTAACTGTATATTGTAGACATGGATGTAAGTAAATAATTGTAAACTGGACTACATGAAAACGAAATTTTCATTTTTAACTACTTCCTTATTAGTCATTTGTATTTAAGCTAAAAAGACTTAAAAAGTCTTTACTCTATTTCCTTTAGAGTTAATTTATTTCAATGAGAAAAGATACAGGATAGAAGACAATGTCAGGTATTAATAGATGGAGGGTAATAATGTAACCATTAGCATTAACATCTCATTTCAAAAATCCATTAGTTATGCAGGTAAATGAAAAATTGTAAGATTCAGGTCAGTTCCTAATATGCAACTACTGTTCTTTATGTGTAATAATATCATAAGCCCAAGAAGTAGAATTTCATCTATTTAAAACAAATGAGCCATGATAAAAGATGTCAGGTGTAATGTTCTGTAATTTAGGTTTTAATTTCAGATTTTAAACTTTATATCTTTCAATGGGAGGCTATTTTTGTGTGTGTATTAGCCAGGGCAGAATTCCAGAATATTCAAATAGCAATGTAAATATGAACAGTAGAGAAGAAAAAATAATGTTCTAGTTTTCATTAGAACCCTCAGTCAGTGGTTCATTGCAAAGCTGTCACTGGCTATTAGACATTAATCTGTTAACTTCCTGCCTCCACTTTTCTTATTTCTCTACTCAAGTAGTAGTTACATAATTATAATAAATAATTAACAGGTTCCAAAGGTCGGCTGTTAATCAGAGAAATAGAATGACATATATACATTTTTATCTAATTTTTTTCCAAGCAAGAATAGATTTTCTTCTAGTACTCACATTTTCTTAATGCAGCCTAGAACGTAAATCTTGATTTCCCTCCAAATATATATACACTTTTCAGATATTACTAATAACAAGAAAATGTTCCTATTTTGAAGTGATGTGTTATTATAAAGCTTTAGAGGCCAAAATAATGCTTCTTAGTACCAGCAGAGCAATACTGGGGAATTATGTATGTGGTTTGGTTTACTCTACTATTTTATATCCTACAACCTAAGAATATTAACTTCAATGTTATTTCACATTTTTATAACACTGTGAAAATTTTTAGTTCTTATAAATTAGATGTGTTCAACCCAGTAAGTTTTCTTAAATTGGTAACTTAGATTTCCATTATGAACATGCCCACTTACCATGGATTATTCACAAACTGCAACTAAATTATTCTTTGTCACTGTAATTTATTAGATATGCCTGCATCTCTAATACTCAGAAAGTATTATGGAAAAATTCTTGCCTTTAATCTCTGGGATATTAAATGCCTAAGTGTAGATACATAATCAAATATGTATGCAGTATGTCTCAGAATGCTTTCAGAGTTTCTAGGCACAGAGAATGTAAATTTAATTGTTACAGAGCACACAGCAATACTGAGGATACAGACCTAAAAAGTAAAAAAAGAAAAAAAGAAAAAAAAAAAGATGCACTAAGTAGGGGCAAATTAGACAGTTTCCTGAAAGAATACATTCTGAACTATATGTTGGAGAAGGAGCCATCTGAGTAGATAGGGAGAAGAGGAGGGACATTCAGGGGAGGGGCAATTTAGCACAGGCTAAACCCTTGTCACCATCCAGAACTAGAAGAGAAAATACTAGTACATTTCTACACTACTAACTGTTGGACATTGTCTTTTTGATGGTTAATAATAACAATAAGTGTTATTTGTATAACATGTTAAAGTTTACCAGGTACTTTTGATTTAATTTGGCTCTTGCAATGGCTTTGTCTATTTTCTTTTAGGTCCAAGTTCTAAGGATGTCAATTTGTGTACTGCTGCTAAAAATTAGGGATTTTTGAATGTTAGAGATTTTGACTTTTGAAGAAGTCATTTCACTAGTGAAATAGGCATTAATGATTTAATTATAGGTTGAGTGTGAACCAACAGCTTTATCTTTGAAAATTAAAAAAGATCTTTTCCAAGCAAATGATCCAATCAAAAAATGGGCAGAGGACCTGAACAGACACTTCTCCCTAGAGGACATACAAATAGCCAACAAATATTTGAAAAGATGCTCAACATCACTAGCTATTAGGGAAATGCAAATCAAAACCACAATGAGATACCATCTCACATTTGTTAGAATAGCTATAATCAACAGGACAAGTAATAACAAATGTTGGAGAGGATGTGGAGAAAAAGGAACCCTCATACCCTGCTGGTGGGACTGCAAATGGGTACAGCCACTATGGAAAACAGTGATTTTTATGAAGAATTAGCTGTAAATCAATATCATTTGTATCTCATTCTAGAAAGAATTTTAAAAGATCTCGGTTGGTGCTGCTTGTGGTACATATATACAATGGAATATTACTCAGCCATAAGTAGAGATGAAATACTGCCATTTGTGACAACATGGATGGACCTTGAAATAATCATAGGAAGCAAAATAAGCCAGACAGAAAAGGTTGAAAATCACATGATATCACTTATATGGGAGATATAAACTTAAAAGCAACAAATGAACAGGACAAACGGAGATTCATGGACATGGACAATGGACCAGAGGGTTACCAGAGGGTAGAGGATAAGGGAGGAGGGGGTAGGTAGACAGGGTAAAGGGGGTCAAATATATGGTAGCTGAAGGAAACTGGATTTGGGGTGGTAAACACACAATAGAATATACAGATGTCAAATTATAATGTACACCTGAAAATTATATAATTGTATTAACCAATGTTACCCTAATAAACTTCATTTAAAAAAAAAGATTTTTTTCCATTTAAATAATTTTTTTAATAAAGAAAAATTCTATGCAAAACACTCAAACATTTAAGGGATATTTATATAACTTATTGCTTCAGAGTTTCTTTCTCACTGCCGTTTCAGTAATTATAGTGTAATAAAAATAAACAAACAAACAAACAATTCTAAATCTGTAACATGAATCGGTCAGAGCTTTCCACAAAGACAAGTGTTTGGAAATAATCACAGATGTAGCACCATAAGACACTTCAAGTAGTTGACGTTACAGTTTCAACCTTCTGGCTGTAATTAGTCCAGTAGTGACACTCTTGGTATGACAGGTCATAGGAATGGAAAGGAGATACATTTTTATTTTTGATATTTTAATATACATTTATAGTTACCTCTTTGTATTGTGTTTTTCATAAATATTATATTCGTTTATAATAAGAAAGTTTAGAAAGTACAATGCACTGAAAGGAAGAAAAAAAAATCATAACTTACTTGCAGAAATTCTCATTCCTCCCTGTGTTGTCTCTTGTGATAGCAACAGGGTGTAAGGATCTTCATTATGCTCTACAAAGAGGTGGAACTTGCTCTTGGAATCAACAGTGAATACAGCAAGAGGACTTTAATGCGTCTGCACCCCAACATAAAGGTATTAAGACTCATCTTGATGAATAATGTTTCTTCTTTATTATTCTAATGTAATTTAAAAATAATATATAATATATAATAGAATATATATATTTTATAATGTTACATAATCTACAATAAATTATTGTAATAATATTTTTCAGATATGTTTTGCCTTGAGCAGAAGTAATCTGTAGAATTTCCTAATGTATATTTTGAATATATAACATGGTTTTCACAGAAATAAAACAAAATAGTATACTTTCTTATACGTCCAGTATTGTCGGAGTCAGCAGAATTAACATTTCTGCTTCTCTTAACCCTGATAATTTGGCCAAGAACACACTTCCCAGGGTTGTTTTAATATTTAAGAGGCCTGTCAAGGTCCCATACTCTTCATTAGATTATCCTGGAACCTCTTAGCTGTGATCTCTCCATGACGCCCCTTGAATACCAATAGCAATAAAGAGAGTTCCTCTAGGATTTAAAGTGCTTTTCTTAATAGCACCTTGTATAAAATCCTAATAAAGTAGATAACCGTGATAAACAATTTGAAAAAAGCTATTTGATGTTTTACTGAAGACCTGAAGCTAATCAATAAATATTGCCCTGTTATCAAGATACATCCAGACAGTGAATCTGTAAATCTCCAGCAGGCTTAAAGTATATAACAATTATATACTTCAGTTTATTAAAAAAAGATATTCCATGTAAATGGTAACCAAAAGAGAGCAGGAGTGGCTATACTATTAGACAAAAAGGGTAACAAAAGGTTCAATGCAGCAAGACATAACATTGTAAACATTTACATACCTAATAATGACCATCAAAATATATAAAGCAAACATTGACAGAATCGAAGGGAAAAATAGTTCTACAATAATAGTTGGACACTTTAATATCCCACTCACAATAATGAATTGATATATACATAGAATGCAATATTATTCAGTCTTAAGAAAGAAGGAAATTCTGACATGCTGAAACATGCATGAACCTTGAAGGCATTATTCTAAGGGAAATAAGCCAGTCACAAAGAGACAAGTATTGTATGATTTCATTTATATGAGATCCCTAGAGTGGTCAAATTCATAGAAATAGAAAGTATAATGGTGATTGTGAGGGATTGGGGTGGGGGGTGGGTGGGATTTAATGAGTATAGAATTTCAGTTTTGCAAAATGAAGAATTCTGGAGATGGATTGTGGCGATGATTATACAATATGAATGAACTTAATACCACTGATCCATGCACTTAAAAACAGTAAATATGGTAAATTTTATGTTATGTGTAAAGAAATACAGAAGTGTAGTTTTTAAAAAAGTACTCTGCAAAGTTTTTGGAATGTTTCTACTTAAAGATATAAGAAAATAGGATGGGTCAATCTGGGCTCATTTAGAGAGAATTCTATTCGAAAGCAGGAAGTTAATAACTCCTCAAAGTACCTTTCAAATCAAGAGCTGCCAAAATGTCAATGTCCCTATATCCATATGCTTACTATTTCAACTCAGTGGTTGCCAAAATATCAATATACTTATTAAAAATTTTGCCAGAGATAGATGTTGGTTAAAATTTTTTGGATTTTTATAAAATAATACCAGATATGATCCTTTTAGGGGAAAAGGGGAATCAGCTCTTTCATTGAGCTGACTTTTATTGAAATATGTGACCAAACTTCAAGCTAAATGGCAGCTGCTCCAAAATGGAGTATGAGCAGGGGAAGGAGAGGCTTAAAAAGTACCTAGGAGTCTTTCTCTCTTAAATACTGAAAATAAAATTAGAAGTTTGGGGATTTTCTTTGGTATATACAGAGCCCATTTTGATATTTGAATTATAGAAAATGCTACTTAAAGGAGGAAACAAACCTATTTTATTATAATATGAAGGACATTTTAAAAATCATTTCATATGTGGAATTTTTTCTTCACTCAAGGTGATGAGGCACCCAGATCATGTATCATCCAGCGTATATCTGTGGGCTCATCATGAGAAACTTGTCATCATCGACCAGTCAGTGGCCTTTGTGGGTGGGATTGACCTGGCCTATGGAAGGTGGGATGACAATGAGCACAGACTCACGGATGTGGGCAGCGTGAAGCGTGTCACCACGGGACCATCTCTGAGTTCCCTCATGGTAAGTGATTTCAGACTTTTATAGAACTGCATAACAGGAACACAGGTTGTATAAGTATGTATTGTAGCGGGATTGATTGACTGAGAAATGGCATATCCCTGGAGAAGGAAGGAACATTGAGTCAAGTATAGACAGCTCTGGTTTGAAATAAATACCATCTAGTGAGTCTGTAACTCTGCATCTCGTAGTCTCAGTTTTTACTCTTGTGAAAAAAGAAAACATTCAATAGAGCATTTGGTATCTCATAGTCAGCTCTTGTTTTCCGTATAAATTAAAGGTTTATTTCCTACTTGGAAAAATGTTCATAAATAAAAATGTGGCAATTGAACTTTAAGTTAAATAAGCAGACTCATTACGAATAGCTGCCAAAGTTTTTGGAATCTTCCCACTTAAAGACATAAAAATAGGATAGGCCAGGCCGGAGTCATCTAGGGAATTCTATTTGAAAGCAGCAGGTTAATAACTTCTCAAACTACCTTTCAAACCAAGAGCTGCCAACTTATCTATATGCCTATAATCACATACTTATTATTTTAACTCAAGTGGTTGCCAAAATAACAGTACACTTATTAAAAAATTTGGTGGGCTTCATCTTATTTTACTGGATATGTTGGTGACTTTTCTGGGAAAATAGAGATTTAGTGAATAGGTAACGGGGAGAATAATTGACAGAAAAAGTATTGCTTACTTAATGTTTATCAGAGGAAGAAGTTCAGTAGCTCCACAGTGAAAGTACCTTATGTGAGCTAAAAAGGTTAATTGGTATGCAATGTTAAGAATTTGCCCTACTGAAAGAAGAATGCTCGGAATGCCTTTGGTAGTATTTAAACAGCTCACAAGAATCCCCCACTGCCCTGTGGCCGACCTCACACATTATTGTGTGTCTATTTGGGAGCTTCTATCATGTGCCAGCTTTACACCTCCCCTGACTGGAATTAAAGGGCCACACTGCAGTGTATTTATGGAGTGTCTTTCTTTCTTTTTTAAATAATTTTCTCAGGCTGAAACAACGGAGTCTATAGAATCCTTAAGCCTCAAAGATAAAAATGAATCTACTAAAAATCTGCCTGTGCTAAAGAGTGTTAATGATACAGATTCAAAACTGAAAGGAATAGGAAAGTCCAGAAAGTTCGCCAAGTTTAGCCTGTATCGGCAGCTCCACAGGCACCACCTGCACAACGCAGACAGCATCAGCAGTATTGAAAGCGCCTCCAGTAAGTCCTTGTCTTTGCTGGAGTTTTTCTTGACTACACCCTGTTCTTCCATTGCCAGACACCATATACTTGTTTTATAACCTGTCTTTCTGTAATGGAGTAAAAGGAACAATGCCGAAAGGTCACTAGATCATCTTATTCAATATCATGCCATCTCATGGCTTTGTTGGCCTCATTTTAGAACACATTTATTGTTTTATTCACGAGTCGTCATAACAACTGCAATTCATGCTTCTGATGGTAGCAGAATGACCAAGCATTTATAAAATAATGCTAAGTTATAAAGGAAAAGAAAAGCACGAGATGTACTTTATGAATTTTTTATAGAAGAAATTTCATTTCTCTTCCCATCCAGAAATACATCAAGCTTTATCCTCAAACATCAGATTTTCTATATCTTATAAATTTCCTGTTCTTTTAAAATCTGTCTTAAAGCCCTGCAATTTTTCTGTTGTACAGAATTTGTGACTAATTTTATAGATTTGCCTAGTGTTAAAAATGATCAAACCTGCTTTCCAGTTTAGAAAACCTGATACATTTTATATACTTATTTCTTTGTAAAAAAAGAACTCTCAACTTTCTCCAGGTTATTGTAATCACTGTAGAAGTCGTCAGAATTTAATCTATGGTTTAAAACCCCACTTGAAACTCTTTCGCTCTTCCAGTGATTCTGAGCAGGGACTCACTAGACCTAATGGTAAGTGATGTGTGAAGTGGCAGAACCTTCTTAGGCTTCAGCTTTTGCTGCATGAGCAGAGTGACTGTGTTTCTGGATTGGCTTTCTGTTCACGCCACATATATTATTGAGAGCAAAGCATGGGGAAGTACATGAGATTCCTGCTTCCCAAGAACCTACACTCCAACACTAAGGTAAAATATAACCTAATAACGGTACCGGTGCATATGGCAGCTGCAGTTCAGGAGCGTTGTAGAAGTCCTGTGGAAGGTGGAAGTCTTTTCTGTGATGAGCCAGAAAGACTTTCTTGAGGAGGGGACACTGGACTTAGTTTTGGAAGTACTTTGATTGGGTCAGTGAGGATAGGGAGACATTGCAGGTGAAATAAATGAGTTGAGCAGAGAAGCTGGAATGAGAAAGCACCAAGTGCTTCGAAACATTAGAAAATACATCATTCAGTTGAGATCTAAGGTATAAGACCAGTAAGATATACAATAGTTACATTTGGACTCCCCAACATAAAGAAAGGAGTTGGACATTTATTTAGCTAAGTATCTCAAAGACCACTGAATGGGAGGTATCATGCTAAATGCGAATTTTTTAGAAATTAGAATCTGGTAACCTTTTGTAAGAAGACCTACATTGCAGAGGAGTAGGTTAATCAGGCCTAATTTGTGGTTGTGGGAATGAAGAAGATTTGGCAGTGGATCAGGTATAAAGACAGGGAATCATAATAATGAATAGCAGTCACAGTAGAATTGCAAGCTAGCGGTTATGGTGTGCAGACTGCCAGCCACGACCTGGGCCCTTGCGGTGCTTGGCAGTAGCCCTGCAATCTCCTTTTCAAAGAGGAGGTAACTCAGGCATAGAGGTGACAATTGACTGCGCAGCGAAGTTCCATTTTATCAGCCTCCCAGAGCTCAGCATATAGGTTTGTGATTTAGCAGAAGTGCAGACTACTACATCGCAACCTTTTGTTCTGGCGTACCGTTTAGAAGGTGGCTGAGTTAGAGCCCAGCTGACATGGCTGGATGTGAGCCGCCGGTGGCTGGCAGGAGCTACTGAACCTAATAGAGTAACTTGGCCCTTGAGCAGTGGTTCCCAGCATTCTTTAGTCTAGGGACTAAACTGAATATATATAAAATGAACTAAAGCTCCAATGTAACTTAAATTTATATTTTGTAAATTATAACATTGACATACATTAACAATTACAGAAGATTATATATGAGGAGACATTTTATTTATTTAGCATACGGCTGTTACTTGATGCATATGTGGACCCAGGGACAACTTACAGTAATTCCTGTGCTTGACAGAGCTGCAAAGCCCTGGGACACGGAACTGGGAGACCTCCAAAGAGCTGGGTCAGGGGCAAATGAAGGGGCAGATATTAAAGGTAAAGAGCTGGAGACAGGTCCAGGTAATTCTGTATGTGGCTTTGCTGCTTTAGGACTAAACTTAAAAATGAAATGGAGGACTGAGGTTGCCAAATCATGATGTTGAGGGGTCTGAGTTATGACCGAGTGGTTGTGTTGCTGACAGTAGGATAGGGGGCAAATGGAAAAGCAGACGCGAGCCCGGTGCTGAATGCATTAAGCAGCCGAGGCCAGTGTCAGGCTGAGCAAGGTGATACCCACGGCGGTGCCCTGAGGACATTGATGTGGGCAGTTTTCACATGCTGAGGGAAACCTCCTTTCTAACAAACTAGATACATGTCCGGTGCAGCATTGTTAAGATAGAGAAAAAAGTAAACAGCCTAAATATCCAAGAGTAGGGAAATGGTAAAAGAACATGAGTGGCTCATCCCTTTGAGGGAATTGTGCAGACATTAAAAAGTTTAAGTGGAGATATAGAAATAAATGTGTGTGATTCATTTGTTTCATTAAATAAGTATTTATTGAGCTCCTAAATAGGCCAATCATTATTACATCACTAGTACCTAGTTCTAGGTACTAGGGATGTAGTGAACAGAACAGATGAAGTTCAGTTAACTAGTTGGAGGATGAGGATGGAAATTATATATATTATATATATAAATAGGTCATCAAACTCAATATATCATGTGTTGGGAATTATCGTGGAGACCAACAGTAGAGCAGAGGAAGGGGGAAGGGCAGAGGGGAGGAGTTACTGTTATATCGGATAGTCAGAGAACACTTCCTAATGAGGTGAGTTTTCAACAGCAATCAGAAGGAAGAGAAGATTGAGGATAAGAAGAGGTCTGGGGGAGGGTGTCCCAGCCCGGAAGATTAGCAAGGGTAAGGGCTGTGAGGCAGGAGGGGACGGTGTGTTCCAGGAATGTGTCTGGAATGGAGTGGGCTGGTGGAGAACCAAAGCAGGAAAGTCAGAGAGGGCTGGGTAGATTATGTAAGGTCATGTGGACCTTGTAAGGATTTTGGCTTTTACAGTTGAGTGAGATAGAAAGTCATGTGATGGGCTTGAGCTAAGGACAAACCAAGTTCCTTCCGACTTACATTTTTAAAGAACATGAGTGGCTCATCCCTTTGAGGGAATTGTGCAGTCATTCTTCAGAGCAGATCAGGGTGGCAAGTAGTGGCCAGACAGGTACTGAATCCATCTCGAGATGGAGCTCACGGCATTTGCTGATGCACAGTGTATGGGATGTGAGAGGTGGAGAGGCCTCTTTCTATTAACTATGATAAATTACAAATTTAATTTTTTGATATTAAAAAAACAAATTTATGTAAAAAGGGAAGCAGTGCTTTGCAAAGTCTGTTCTGTGGACCCTGGTGTTTCTCAGAGACTATGAGGAGGGTACTGAGCAGGTTGGCCCTGGACCCTCCTACCTCTCTTAGTATCTGATTCAACCAGAACAGTCTTGCTTGTATTGTTTTATTGTTTTATATATTGGAGTTCCATGTGAATTTGCATTGAAAAAAAAAGTAAGGTTCTACTATTAATAATAATGGAAGTTTAAAGCACGTAGCTCTACTTTTAAGTTATCTAATGACTTAAACCTGTATTGTCTTATAGGTCTTGAAACTCAAATTAAGCTTAGAGTGAATCTTCATTAGAAATTTGAAATTGAATGTTTGCTTGAGTTAATAATTTCCTTTCCTGGGGATATTTAGTGGAGTAGCTTCTCTGCAATGTCAGTTTCACTTGAATGGAAAAGGCCGTGATGAATTGGGCTTCTAGTGAACCTTACTGGCGGTGGATGGAAATCATTATGGAGTGTGCATGCAAGATCACTATGGGTTTTTAAGTAGAAAAACTGCACTAAAATCAGTTCATCCTAAATGTAATTGGAAATTATGATAGATTTCTGTAGTATATATTTTAATTCAAAACCACTCAGCCATCCTCAATATTTTTTCTTTCAAGAGAGAGAATTTCAAATTGACATTGCTTTGCTTGAAACAATGTTATTTTTAAAAGATTGAATTTTACTCCTCTTATATTCAGTGACCATTTGCTGGTATTTTCCTTTTAGGCAAGATTAAATAGATGACTGAGTGGGGAGAATTAATTTTGCAATTTAGTGGAGACAGGTGTTTCAAATTCAGGTATTAATCATAAGAGATAATGAATAGTAGGTTAAGTTGTTTCCAGACTGTTCTCAGAGATGCAATGGTATGAGATATATAAGAATTATCTTCTGTTGTCAAAGAGCTTATTATCTAAGAAGCATCAGTTTTAAATATTTTACTAACCTGGTGCCTTAGCGGCTCATCAGGGGGAGATACCCCTACCAACGAGAGTTGTCAGTGAAGCCTTTTCCACAAATGTAAACCCTGATGCACAATTCCCAAATCCAAAAAGATTCAAAAGCCAAAAGATTTTTTTAAAAAATATAACTCATTGAGGACCTGTTTTGGAACTGGTCTTCAACTTAGGCAGAAATTTAGTAGAGACTGATAAGGGGAAAAACAGGCACTCCAGGTACATGTTATATCTTAAGGGACAGTATTTATTTCAGAAGTATGCCAAAAGTCTTTATTTCAGATCTAGGTGTGGAATGTGGTGAATACATAGAGGTCTACCATTGCAAAATCCTGAAGATCATATGTGCTTCAAAAATTAGAAGATTCTGGATTTTAGAAAGATAATACAATACCTATACTCTATATTATGTTACACCCCTTGCAAGGTCCAGGAAATACCCTGTAAGTAAATCATTTATATTTGTGCAACACCAAATGGGATAAATACAGATAATAACTTCTTTTCAGTCCAGGGGGAATTGGAGAGAGGATGAAATGGGGTTGGGGGGAGAGTGGTTTAAGGGTCCTGTTTTACTAAGACTAGAGACAGCGGAAGTCCGACTAGTTTGTTCCAGTGGGCCCGTGAATGAAGTGAATGGGATAAACTTTTCCAAAAGAACAGTCAGCAGAATTTCGATGGAATTTGGGAAGCGGTAATTGGGAGGTAGGAAGAGAAAATAGAGAAGAAGGAAGAGCCAGAGGTCATTCTGAGGTTTGAATTTGAGTAACTACAAACAGAGAAAAGAATCCTCATGGGAAGACTTGATTTTGTTGGGATAATAATGATTCCAGTGTTGCACGTGATTTTGAAGTTCTGGTGGGACAATTAGGTAGACAAGGTCAAGTGAGGCACTGGAAGTGGCTGTAGAGCCCAAAAGAGAAACCAGGGCTAGCGGGGTACATTGAGGAGAAATTTCAAGGAACCTTCGTTAGGGAAGAGGAGCTAGGGAAGATCAGGAGGGTAGGTTGGAGTAATGATAGGGGAATACAGCTTTGGAAGCCAAGAGGTGAGAGAAAAAGAAGGACATGCCAAAGCCAGAAGACACTGGGTGAGGAGCCGGGAGACACCCTTTCCATGAACTTTTAGCAGCCAGAGTCTGGGCCATTGATGAATGATTGCAGAAAATGGTCATGAAACCCCTAGCCAAAGGCCAAGGCAGGTGTGGTTGTAAAATCAATTGTGAGCCAGATACAGACTAATGAGAACCCGCCAGGTCAGCATTGCTGATGTAAAAAGTCATCTCTTTTTATATAGGTGCTTGTGTGATTCTGAGCAGTAATCATAGGAACTAGCAGTATGTAACTCTTTTGCTTTAATATTTTACTTTTTCTCAGGAGGGCCCTGATTTATTTGGAATAGTTTAGGCCGTGACTAAAAACAAACAAACAAAAAAATTGAATTACGAGCAGGTTGAATTCAATAAGTACCAAGATAATTTTTTGAGACTAAGAATTGGCTTGTTTTATTTCTCTTATAACTGATTGTTAGGTAAAAGTTAATTTTTAAACAAGTTTATGTATATATATGGAAAACTTTAGCTTAGAGTTTCTCATTTGATGAAAACAAATTTTATATACATATATTCTTTAAATTTGGAATCTGATCCATTATTTATCTCATCCTTTGTCTTTTTTTCCTTTCATTTCCTTTTTATTTACTTATTTATTTTTTAAACAAAGTGCCATGCTTACTGTAAAGAGCCTACAGGTGAGCAAACAGAACTACCAGTACTTTAGCCTCTCAGCCTTTTAGAGCAGGAAAATAAATCACTGGGAGAAGTCAACAGAATTCTATTTTTAACATTATTTAGTTTTATTAATCTTTAGCACCTTAAGACCTTTTTCTTTAAAAGAAAATTTTAATAACCTTTGAAGGTTGATTTTTCAGTATGAGATAGACTATTAATAGTGTGTGCGGTGATGGTTTAAAAACTTTTGCTCTGCAAATACTTATGGATTGCCTGTTGAATGCCAAGACCTACACCAGGCAGTGAGGGGACACACTCCCTACCCGTGGGGAGTTTATAGACAAGTGGGGGGCCGGCAGGGAGCATCCTTTACACCATATGTCACAGAGTCAGGGGTACTGGGGTGTGCAACTCTTAATGGTTGTGTACCAGTGCTAGTGACAGCTTGTCCCTACTGGGATCTGGGAGGAGTCTCTGGGGCAGGTGACAGCTAATGTGGCTCTTGAAAGAAGAGGAAGCGATCAGGCCGAGAGGGAGGGAAGAGCATTCCAGGCAGAAGGAACAATGCGCCACTGCATGGAGACATGACAAACCAGGCCCGTCACAACACAGAAGTGTGGTGCTCGTGGGACCTGGGTTAGATGGAGGAAAGCAAGGAGCAGAGAGAGACTGGCATTAGTTTGGGAAGAGCCTTCTGTGTTCACTAATCCCTTAAGATTTGACTCTGGTAGGCAGTAGGTGATCCTAGAAGGCTTTTAAGCAAGGAGTCTCCATTTTCGAAAGATGGTTCTGAGACAGCATGGTGGTAGGGGGACTGGTTCAGTACTCTCACTGGCAAATGCACATGGTACCATTTATTCATTCAACAGATACTTTGCATCCAATGTCTATTTGTTAAGTGCTTTTTTTGTGCCAAGCGCTGCATTTGTGGTTTGTAGTTCTGCTAGTTGTCCTGCTTAGTTGCCTTTCTGGTCAATATAAACATATAAATGATTTAAGTCAAAGTATTTACCCATAAGTAAAATCGTCCTGGCAAAGCTCTGTGAAATATTGCATAGATAGCTGCTTTTGCACCTGTATAGTCATAAGCTTCTGTCTGTTGTGATAATTTTTATGGATGTTATTTATGATTTTAGGAATGTAGAATGTTAGAGCCCAAAAGATCTTAGACCTCATCCAGGCCAAATCTTTCCTTTTACACAAAAAGGATTTCTGATCCAAAATGGTGAAGTTCAGTGTCACTTATTTGATCAATTCCAGGGCTGTCCAGAATGTGGACAGTTTGCAAAGTTGAGGTTTTTGCTTTTTGAAATGGCAAAAGACAAGAATTATGTATTAGCTGTTTGCCATATTGGTTGAGGAAAGAGAGGACCTGACTTCTTTATGGCCTCTGTGTCTCATGTTTCTCTACCTGACCTGGCTTCACTGCTCTCTCATAATCCCTCCTAGCAAGTTCTTCATTCTCAGTTAACCCTACCATCCATGCTTCCAGTGATCTGCTGGATGATAAGAATGAGAATATTAAATTTCATTGTCACATGATGAACACGGTTATAGCCCCAACTGCCCACTAATAATAAACTTAAGAAGGGTTATAAAACTCGTCAGTCCATAGCCTCAGATGGAATAGACATATGCCGCCCTAGTTATGAATCTTAAGAAGAATAGTTAAGAAGCCTTTAGATGTTTCATAAGTGAGAGTTGAGCCTCCCACCCTGGGGTCCCCCTGAGCCACAGTCTCTGAGCAGGTCTTGCTGTGTTCACAGACACAGGCTCCATCCGCAGTTTACAGACAGGTATAGGAGAGCTACACGGGGAAACCAGATTCTGGCATGGAAAGGACTACTGCAATTTCGTCTTCAAAGACTGGGTTCAACTTGATAAACCTTTTGCTGGTGAGTACCAGGGTAGTGGATGACTGCTTACATTTTGTCTTTTACTTCTCAACATCTCAACAAGTACACAAGTGCATGATCTAATGTCTTCTGTTTTCCTTTGTTTTGTTTTGAATATTTGTAAAACTTTGGAGAATATGATTCAGTCATATAATTAAGGACTTCTTGTAGTTTTAGTAAGAAAACAACATGGCATAGAGCTTACTTGTTTGAAGCTTCCAGATTTTAAGTAGACATATTTTCGGAGTAATAATCTGTGATTTTACAAAAGATGGTATCCTTCCTTTGATCATCTCTAATCTGCTTATCATCTTCATTTTCCATCATTTAAATGACACATTTTCAAATTATCACTGTTTTTCTATGTCGAAGAGGAGATAGAGATGGCTTTGCATATGTAGCCTGACATTATTCCAACAACATAAAAAAGAAAAATGTAATTTTAAGTACACATCCTTAGATAATTTGTACCAATTTATCGCCTAGCGGTTAATAATACTACGTGAAACGGAAACATGTTTGGGGAGGTGCGTGGGGGACTGTATTCCTCAGTGTGACATCTATGTTCCCCTGAGTTATGAAGATATTGTTCCACTCAAGCCAAGAAATATACACATAGTGCACATTACCATGTTTCCTTTTACTTGTCATAGTTGGGGTCAGCTCTGGGGTCAGATGGCTTCTGTCCTTGGCACAGAATTTAGTGGTAATCCCTGCCTGCGGCACCTGGGCAGATTTCATTGACAGGTACTCCACTCCCCGGATGCCGTGGCATGACATTGCCTCTGTGGTGCACGGGAAGGCTGCTCGTGACGTGGCGCGTCACTTCATCCAGCGCTGGAACTTCACGAAGGTACGTGGTTGGTTTTATCATGATTCAGTCCACATAAAGAGAGAGAGACCTGGAAGAGGAGAAACCTGGAGGGTTGGCAAGGAGGGCCTGCGGTGGCCACCGCTGTGCCATTCATCTGCTGTTGCGTGCCTGGTTGTCATAGCACCTGGGCTGCTGGGCAAAGGAAAAAGAAAATGTCCCCGAACTTTTCTACACCAGACAATTCAGAGCACAGAGGGGTAGATGCTACTATCAGGGCAGTGATTTTAGCCCTTTTAACTTCTTGGATGCTCAGCACTGGCCTGGGCTGATAGTCACGTGTAGGCTGTTGTAGCGGGGACAGGAGTCTTGTTTTACCGAGAGAGCTCGAACTTCCCAGTCCTTTCAGTCCTGGCATCACACTGGTTTCATGTTGGTACAGGCTTCTGAGAGGTGCTTCTGAGCAAAATGAGCAAAAGATGTAGCCATTTTTCTTTTCTCCAGATTGTGTCTCCTTCAGTGTGTCTTCATTACTCTTAAGAATTAGACTTAACATGCATAGGTTAAGTACCTATCATCCAGGTGTTGTTAAGGTTCCATTTTATTTACTTTAAATGATGATGAGGCATATTCTCCTTAATAATTTGGGAAAAGACTTAGTTTTATCAACAACTCAGAGTCTCACCTTATTTTTCATTTATATGGTAGCATTATGAACAGTGGGAAATCTTAGAAATAAAGGAAATATCTTTAACAAAAAGATATTTATAAAATAACTTTAACAAAAAGTTAGGGGACATGAATGAATAAATAAAGTGATATTACCTTTAACCTACTAGATAAAGATAAAAACAACAACAACAACAAAAACAAAACAGTGCTAATACCTGCATTTGGATTTGTGATTTTTGATGTGCTTATACCCTGTTTCTGGGGGGTAAATTTGACTCAGAAAATCTTTTTCTGTTTAAGTTAAAGAAGTAATCCAATAAAGTGATTTATTTTAACTTTGCTTTCAATAATTTAAATAAAATGAGAAATAACTAAAAGGAATTTATTAAATAAAATATGATTTTTCCATACCATTTTACTATGAATTTATTAAAAAGATATATAGTGCTATATTGCTCTGGCAAGATATCTACAACAAAGTAAAATAATATTCTCATTTTTGTAACTATATACTATATAACCATAACTCCAGATTATATTTAATATTTCTTTAAAAAGATAAAGCAATACATGCCTACTTCGAAAGGTAAAAGAAGCGAAAAAGGAGTTCTTTGTCTCTGGAAAATAGAAAGAAAACAAAAATAATCTATTGCCTCTTCACCTAGAAACATGCATTATTAGCTTTTTTTTTTTCCTATCTCAAATGAACTTGAATTTTGTTTGTAATCACAAAGTAGAGAAGAATGGAACTGATTTCACATTTGAATTTTTTAACCTGTTTTTCTTTGTTTTAGATTATGAAATCAAAATATCGATCCCTTTCTTATCCTTTTCTGCTTCCGAAATCTCAGACAACAGCCCATGAGTTGAAATATCAAGTGCCTGGGTCTGTCCATGCTAACGTACAGGTCAGTCTGGCTTTTCTTTTTTGCAAAGTGTAACTGAGTAAAATCACTATTACCGCCTGTTCACGGGCTTCACATTTTTCAATTAAGGACAACTCCAAAGGAAATCTGAATGGACTTTTTAAAATTTAGTATTATATTTCCTATTTAAGATGTATTCAATTTATGCTCTTTTAAAAACTCTCTTATAAATATAATAAATACACACCCTTAGAAAAGGCCAGTCAAGGAAGGGCTTGTACTGCAATTTCTTTGGAAGTGACCCTAGCAGCATGATCCACAGTAAACTTGGGACTGATGTTAATTAAGTACCAGGAATGTGGCTGAAACTTTGCATCTAGGAAGCTAGTTATAGTTCAATCTAATTTTAGTTCCTAATTAACCAAATGCCTTTGAAAGGGTCTTTAATAGAAAAAAGAATTAGTTTAATAGAGACACAGAATTTTACTATATTCAGTTTAACCATATCATATTAAAAATAAGAAAATTAAGACCCAGTGTGGCCACTAGACTTGTCCAGGATCACCTAGACAGTTATCAATAGAGGTGGAGCTTGGAATCCTACACTAGTCCATTGTTAGCCGACCTGTTCCTTCTACAAACTCAAATATCTCGAGATCATGCAGGGACAGAACTGAGATGGGTCACTTTTGGCTTTGCTTTTTGTTCAAAGTCATCACTGTCAGCATCAACAGTATTTAAGTAAAGATCCAGCAGTCTGCTACTGACATCACTAACATGCATTTACATAATTTGGACATGGATTCTGGGGAATACAATTATATAAATGAAATGCCTAATTCAGTTACTTTATAATATGTTCAAGTAGAAGTGTGTGAACATAAATGAAAAGACATTTCAGACCATAAATCAAATAATAGAACAATCAAAAAGATAAACTACTTAAGAGAAGTACCTATAACAAATACTTAGTTTTCCAGGATAAAGGAAACCACTAATTTAAACTCAAAGGCACAGGTATATATGTATCCATATGTAAGTTAATGAATATTTTATAAACCTGTTTAATTTTATTCTACTTAAAGGGAGAAATTACTCATGTTGTAAGATAAAATAGGAGACTCGATATTAAAAAACAAGAGAATTTAAGATTTGAGATGGCATTAAAATTGACTCGGTGATCAACTTATCAAAGTTAGCAGATACTAATTAATCATCTGTTGAAAAGGCATTGCTGGGAATTATGTATTTTTATAATCAGTAAAGGATGTTTTATGTCAGTGTTAAATATACATAAATCTTCTAAAGCCTGTTGGTAAAGTCCTGTTTTACATAGTGTCATCTATCCCCACTGATTAGGCAGGTAGATATGCTGCATGTCCACTCTACAAAATGCCTCCCTTGATTTACCTTCTCCACATCGCTGGATTTTGTGTTAGAGACGGGGCTAGATCAGTGATCTCTCCCATGTGCTCATATGTTCATCTTTGATATGCTTAGGTGGACTAGACTCAGAAACCTACAAGGCCAATTAATTCAAAAGGAAGTTTACCAAGATTCATTCACTCGTTAATTCACTTATTCAGTCCACATATGTTTATTAAGTGCCATCTGTTTGCACAGTGAAGTCATCATTGCATACCTGATGCTGAGGAGCCAGACAGAAAAGGGGTTCTTTGCCTCTGAAAATGTAGTTAGCTGGGAGAGAGGAAGTTGTGATGTTAAAGAATTCAGTTAAGTCTATGGCATGCCACCTTGAACATGCCCGATCTCATCTGATCTTGGAAGCTAAGCAGGATTAGGCCTGGTTAGTACTTGGATGGGAGACCACTTAGCAATACCAGGTGCTGTAGGCTTAAAAAAAAAAAAAAAAAAAATTCAGTTAACAACATAATGTAAGACATGGTCTAGGACTAAATGCCAGTGTGAAAGTATACACCAGCACACTGTGAGACCTTGGCAAATGAGAGGGAGAAAACTGGGTGTCCCTCTGAGAGTAAGCCTGCCTGTTCAGATGATGATAGAACAGACTGCAGTAGACTGTTTGCTCTTGAAGAAGGTGGCATAAGGCCCTGGAGTGCTGGTGGCTTGGTTAATTTATACCTGATCTGGGAGGCGTTAGTGAACTTTGGAACTTTTTTTTTTTATCCAGGAAGACATACAGTTCATGAATGTTTTATGAAGATTAACCTAGATTAGAGTTCCTCGAATTGAATTTTGTCTGTAAAATGCTAATAGCTATTCTACAAAAAAGGATTTCCGTGGACAGATGTTTTTGCAGATTTTTTAAAAATGGGATTTCTTAGTGCCTTTGTTATGCCTGTGTGTATCATGAAATCACTAAGTGAATATGCTATGAGAATTTCCCAAGTTTAAATGATTGTAGATCTCTCGTTTTGTCACATGTCTGTTTGCATCTTTCTGAAGAAACCTACTTTGGAACCTAAAGTTTAGACGTATGAAGAACTTAGACTAGAATGAGAATGAAAGCAAGAAGACAAGAGGCTGTTACAGTAATTCTAGCATATACTAATTTTGTATTTGTAAATTAGTATTCTTTTTCTTAGTGAGAATTCCCCTGCAATTTTAAAAGTGCTGACTTCACAAAACCCAGATCTCTCTTGGTTGCCAGTTGATGTTTTTCAGAACTGCTGAGATAACTCCAGTCGTAAAAACAATTGGGACAGCCAGGCAGTGTGTGCATCCATTTAAAGGAAACTCTGAGATGAACAGAAACTGAAAAAAGAACTGTTTCATTTCTCCCTTTTTGTAAAGTTCTGCCTGCAATTTTGTTTCGCTTCACATTATTTACTGACTCTAAAATTCATCTTATTCTAGACATTACTGTTTCCACGTGGTGAAATACAGTGCTTAGAAGGCAAAAGCAATAATCTGGCCCAATCTCTGTTTTTCCAGGGAATCCAGAAGGGAGCAGGGAGCTAGGACCTGGCTGTGTAGGCTGCTTAATTTTTAAAGGGGTTATTGTCATATTCTCAAACCTTTAACTCTATCAGCCATTATGTGGCAATAGCCAAATAACTGTTACATACGTTGGTTATGAAATAAAATTCTTTCTTAATTTTACTCTTTTTAACATAGTTTTTAACACAGCTTATTGTTCATAACATAATTTAGAGACTATAAACTTCGTTAACTGAATAGTAGCAATATAATGTAGCAAGGGGAAGAGGCAGATTCTAGAGTCAGACTGTTCAAATCCCAGCTTTGCTACACACTAGCTGTATAATGTTGAGAAATTCACCTCTCTATGCATTTCCTTCATCTACAAGCAGATTAACTACAACCTTCAAGCTTTCCCTAGTGTTTTCAAAAGTTTGCAACAAAGAAGCTGACGTTTTTCAGGATGGGTCAATAGACTAGTTCCGGATACAAAATCTTTATACCATATATTTATTGAAATGGAGAGAAAGAACATCTCTTAAAGTTAGTAATAGATAAAATTCATGTTATTCTTTCATCTGCAGAAAGAAACCCAATTATTTAATTTTTTAAATACAAAAACATTGGGCCCAATGATCCTTGATCACATACTGCTAGTAATTTCACGCCAGCCATTAGACACAACTGGTGTAAAAGGCTGACACAGCTAACCAAGGAGACTAAAGCTATGGCAGATGCAAAGGGGGCCTGTCCCTATTGACATCATTTCTGCTTCTCAAAATGTCATCCAAACCTGAGGGCTTACTTCAGCAGCTTCCACCGACACTTTAAAAATAATCTTACTGTTTCCCCTCAGTGCTGGGCGTTCTCAGAAACCTTCCAAGAGCACTCAGAGGCAATGGCAGGAGAAAGGTGTGCGGACGGGAGTTGGAGGAAAGATGATTCTGAAACTGCTTGTACACAGAATATGTTTTTTTAAAAAACAACTTATCTCCCTAAAAAGAACAAACTAAATTCTTGAATGCTATCATTACTACTTAAGATAAATGACCTAGACAGAAGACATTTGACATGCCTATTAAAGTAAAAGAAAATTACTGATGCCAAAATAGCATCAATTTAGAATTAATACATAGGAATAATTCTTTTTATTAAATTGGGCAGCTTTTAGTAGAAACGCCATTGCTTAGAAAATCATTGCTGAGAAGTCCTACCAAACTGAGGGAAATAGTCATGTCTTCAATCTCTTTATTAAAAAAGAAAAGAAAATATGTAGGCAAATGTGAATGACATTTGAATTATACTCCTGGAAAAATTTGTTCCTGTGCTTGGGAAAAAATGTCCAAATGATACTCCGAAGGATGTCAATATAGGAATCAATGTAGATTTCAAAAGACAGCCAAGTATTTGATATTGTGATAGAATAAGCAGGTAGGTAAGGGTGAAAGAAAGCCACTTAACTTATTCCTAAGAAGTTTCTTAACAGGGAAGCTATTTTCCATTTATGGACCAGGTCTTTGTGCGGTAAGACTTCCTGTGTGCTACTGTGGGTCTTGGCTGGCAGAAGCCACATGAAAGGGGAGTGTTTGTTCTGTGTCCCACACTGTTCTAAGCTTTTTGTGGATTATCTCATTTAATATAATAATTTACCAGTCTATAAATTGTACATTTTTTGACCCCTTATTGTTATAGATGAGGAAACTAGGACTTTGTGAGGTTAAAATAACACAGTAAGTAAGTGGTGGGGATGAGACTGATTCTAAGCAGTCTGAGTCCAGCACCTGAGGTCATAACTGTTCAGCAGAGATAGTGTTGCAAATAAGACCCGAGGTGTTTGCAAGCACAAGGGCTCCAGCAAGGTACAGCTGCATGTCAGGATTGCCTTTCGGTATCATCTTCTGTTGCCATGGCCCCGTATACATCCCCAGCAATCATGCTTCTTTCTGGCTCCCCAGAGCCCTTAACTATACCTTTTTTTCCTAGTACTTCACACCCTTAAGTCTTAGTCTTCAAAAGTTATATTTTCTCCCTCTCCTTCAGCCTTAAGGTTAACTTTCCCTTTTGTACAGGCAAAGGGATCAAGCTATTAGAATAATTGCATACCGTGATATGAATGGATGACACTCAACTCCAGAAAAATGGTTATTAGAAGGAAGATCAGAATAATATGTGGCAGATTCTTGAACGAACTCCATTTCTTGGTTCTTCTTACCTGCTGTGCCCCTCAATTCGGACTGGAAGACTAAGGCCCAGCACTTCTAAGCACTGCCCCACTTTCCCCAGCCCCTGCCACCTGAGATTCCTCATGGATGCCAACTTCTGCTCGAGAGACATATAAAAAGTACTTTTCTCTTAATAGTCTTTGTTCCCTCATTGACTTGGGAGCTTAGAGAAATAAAAGGAATTAAGACACATGCTGAATTTATAGGGAATACAGGCATTACAGAAAGAGAAAAGGAACTTGGAACAAATACTAAGAAAGTTTTGAAGGTTTTTCTTAAAGAAGAGATTTCTGAATTTCAGTCCATATATTCAACTTGGGTCCACTGTATGTTAGGGCCAAAGAGAAGGCTATCTTTGAAGTTAAAGAATAGGACATCATACAAGGAAAATGACTGGTTCTTGTTGCAATTTTGAGGCTAAAACATAAGATCAGAAATATGCCCTTTTTATATACTTTAAAGTTGTGTATTCAAACTTGAGGTTTGAAAAGTATGGGTTAGATTTGATTCTCAGTATACTTGGGTCAGTAACATAAACCACATTTCTGCGTGTGAAAGGAGGTGTTTGAGGTTGCCTCAGTTTCACTGGTTTAAAACAGAAATTCAAGACAAGTTGGTCAGACCAGTTAAGAAAAAGGAGAGAGTAAATCTTAAATTTTAAACAAAAGAAAGTCAATCAAAATGTGTTTGACATATTTGGATGTTTAAAAACTTTCTAGACCATCAGGCATTTAAAGCAGCTCAGGGTT